AGATAGATAGATAGATAGATAGATAGATAGATAGATAGATAGATAGATGATGGATGGATAAATTGCATGCTTCAGGAGGTTCCGAGAAAGCCTGGAAGCTCTGATTCTGGGCTCTGTGTCTCTGTGTGTCTGTGTGTCTGTCTGTGCCCTTGCATGCATACACACTCAAGAATCATCATATGAAATGAGGCCCCTGAGGTATGTATATATGTATATATATATATCCAGCTTCACCCAGCTCCTCAGCCTCCTGCCCATCACCCTCCAGCTCCCATGAGCCCTCAGCACAGCACAGTGACCTCCTCAGGAGCTATTAACACCCAGATGTCACCACTCAGCCCAGGACGTGACAAGCTGGGGTGAGTTGAGGTAGGAATTGGAGAGGACACAAAAATATCCAAGCTGGTGCCATCTGGGCTAGCCTGGTGATAAAGAGCAGCTCACGGGGGTAAAAAAAAAAAAAAAAGCCCCAACTCACCAAAGCAATGGACTCAGCCATGACGGCAGTGAGCTTGTGCATCCTTGGCCATCTTACTGGTGATTTAAACTATCTAAGTGTGGTTTTTTGTTTTTTGTTTTTTTTTATAGGGAAAGAAAATAGAACTGCGTAGTACGCTAGGGGCAGCAGGCTGGGCAGGGGCAAGAGCACTGCCCGTAACGGCTTGTCTGAGGACAACTCTGGAAACTTCAGTTCAACTGATTCACACCAAACTGGTCGTTATTGTCTGACCACAGGTCACCCACAAATTCAAAGCTGTCTCCTAAGTTGGCATTTTGCAGAGAACTAGAAAGGAACATCTGCCCGCTTTGACCCCTTTGACAAGCAAGGTCCCACTGGGCGCGCCTCGTTTGGATACCTCGAAGCAGGGGGCGGGTGGGCTGTGTACCTGAACTGCCTGCCAAAGTCTTCCCAAGGATGCAGAGATGAAGGGCTTCACCCCCCCACACACACACACACAGCTGGAGAGAAGAGGGACTGTGGACATTGTGGGTTATGGTGTGGGGTTGCTGGGAGCTTTCAGCACTGAGGACTCGGGGAGGGAGGAGTTCTGACCCTTGTAGGAGGAGGTAGGACCTGGGGAGGGGTGGGCATCCCTGGTTCCACTGAGAAGTGGCATATAAACCAGTATGCCCAGCCTGTGCCCATGTCAGCCCGTCTATGCCTGCCCATACAGAGGCTCTGAACCAGATTACACCCAAAACAAGCCAAGCCAAAGGAGTTGTTCTACCAGGAAAGGTTAAATTGAGGGTCTGACTGGTGTGTGTGTTGTGTGTGTCAGGATTAAATTTTTCTGGGAGTGTTTTGTGGCGTGATGGGGGAGCGAGGACCAGGCACGAGGAGTTCATGTCATATTCAAAATGTCTCTGAAGTTCCAACTTGTTGATCCTTACAAAGCTCTTACAGCTCTGTGAGTATGCAATCACCATCATTGCCATCACCACGAAGACCGCTTCTGTGTGCCCCCTTCAGCAGGCCATGGTGCCCAACTGCAGAGTCAAACACCATTTCTGATGTTGCCGTGAATATGAATTTAACGTTTAAGTCAAGAAATGACATCTAAGGCAGGTGACCTCCACGCCAGTGTTGAGCTTTGTCCTGAAAGTTAAAGGACTTAAGGAAGCAGAGAGTCCCCGGTAAGAAATGAATTCAGTGCCCAGTGACTGTCTGACTCTCCCCTGGGCCTCCTACCTCCCACCAGCCTTACAGACTTCCCATCCAGCAGCCCCAAAGCTAGGTCCTTACCCTAAACCACTTTCCTGGCATCCTTTTGGTTCGGAGTCTCTGGATAACCCTAATGCTGCAATTGTCATTGCTGGTTCTCAGATGAGGGTGACTCAGGTACAGGTAAAAAGCCTGACCAAGGACACCCACCCGAGAAAAAACAGAGTTGAGATTTGTACCCAGAACTTCAGCTGGCAGTCAGTGGTGGCATGGTTCCAGAGGGAGGGCTGCCGTGAGCACACACACACACACACACACACACGTGTGTGTGTGTGTGTGTGTGTGTGTGTGTGTGCTTGTATGTAAACACAGCCCGCCCCTTCACTCTCAGCTCCATGGGATAGAGCAGG